CTGAGTTTGACAAGGACAATGTGAGGCTCTGGTATATTATTTTTCACCTTTGCTGTATGGACTGCTGAGGAGAGATGCCCTGTTTGTGGTACCCGGTGGCTCCTGAGTGCAGCAGCTATTGACTGGCACTCACTGCTCATGAAAAATGACAAGGCATGGAGTGAAGATGAGGCTGTTTGTGCTTTTTAAGGCTCCGTTCGCTGTGGCGTTTAAAGGCGATCTATATTACTCTAGCGCTCTTTTGAAAAGTAATAAAAGACCTTGGCGAACAGGAAAATGGAAAGCACTTCATCGGCCTTCCTGGGAGCCGCATTAAATCTCTCGCTGCATCAATAACCATCGCAGGCCACCTAATATTCATTTGTGCGCCTCATGCGCAGATTTCCCATTCTTAAAGGAAAAGTAACGGGCAGACAAACAGACTGTGCACGTTAACTCTATGCCGGCGATTAACTCTGTCAAATCAGTGAGGGATGATGCACGCTCTAGTTTTTGATTGAGCCTGTTTAAAGTGCCTGTAAAAGAGAGAGCTCGTTTAGATGCCTCTGCACCTGCAGTATGTAGCTGTCTGCACACAGGACACCTCAGCAGCATTTTAAGAAGCCTTTTTTTTATGATGTTATTTGATAGATCCCTTTTGAGCATAATGAAAGCCATAAGTGCGACTGTGCGTTTGCACGAGCCCTTCTTTGTCAGATGCGGAGTTTTTAGTGAGATGTTGTTGAGAATGAGTCATATCATTACTGCTCCATTGTCTGCTTGCACTTTGCACTTACTGTGGTGGAGATAAAGTGAGATTACTGCGAGAAGAGAGCAGATGTTTCGGTGCATTTTTCCGTTCTCTTTCTCTCCTTGAATATCTGTGGATTTTATTTCACATGCTAGTGATGTATCTGCTGAAAAGGGAGAGGTATTATGATGACTAGGACTTCGCTCAAACAAAGGGAAAGTGTGCGCTGTAAGTACGCATCACATTTAAACCCTCCGAGATGAAATATTAAACGTGAATGTGCTGAAGGAATTATGCGGGGCTGAATATGTCTGAATAAAGGGAAGATGTAATTTTCACATTGCTGCACAGTCCCATGTGTTCCAGCTTCGCGGGGCTGACAGATATTGATGGAGAACAAATTGTAAATTCACACCATCTTTTTTTTGTATTATTTCTCCTTCAGCCCTGTGTCTCCATGGGGTCTGATTCTCATTCTGCGTTCTCTTTGTATGTGTGCTGGGTTGTACGGATTAAAGCCTAACCCATTACTTTATCGTCCATCTCTGTCAGGCGTAGAGCAAGGATGAGTTTCTCATGCTCCGGGGTTGTGTTTGCCTCCTCCGCGCCGCAGTCCAATCATAACATTGACCCAGGTGTTAATCCCCAATTACACATGTGTACGCAAAAGCAGCTTTTGATGTTGCCCAGGGCTGCTGCCTGGTCCAGAGCTAAATTGAGCCTGATTCTTTAAAACCGTAGACTACATCCGGCTCAAACAGCCTTTTCTGACATCTTTATGTTGCTGAATCTTTTGACGAGGCCTTCTAATAACAGTAATCACACAAGCTGTTGGTATTTGAAATGTTTCTGTGTGTATCGCCTTTATTCATTCGAAACTCTCACAGTGGCAGCTCAAGTGACTCATCAACGTCAGAGCTAGTCATGTTTTTAACATTTTAGTGCAAATGACTGGCCGCATGCTGGGATCTTAATGTTAAATCAAGGTTCAGTGCTGTATCCTGTCCCTCTCCATCACCAGTCCCTCTAGACCCCAATTAGGATCTTTCATCAGATGCTCTGTGTTCTTGCCTCACTACAGCCAAAATTAGATCATTTGATCCGTCCCTGGCTTAGCGTGGAATATGTGAGTGCCAAAGCTTAACTAGAGACTTTTCTTAGGGTCCCTTTCATAGGAATAACTCCTCAAGGAATAATGTGAATGTAAGCGCTTCTTGCTGACAGTAGTCTAGCCGAGCTACTGCTCCTTAACCTATTAATTTCCATTAATTTCATGTCAAACCATAGCTAACAAGTTTGTTTTTGTCCTTCATTTGTCATATTTAATTAGTCTTTTGGTCACATGCGTCCACTGATTATAACAAAATAGTACAAACACATACAAATTTTCTAAACCGCTTATCTTTCTGGGTCATGGAGGGTGCTGGAGCTTATCCCAGCGGTCATTGGGCGGAAGGCAGGAAACACCCTGGACAGGTCGCCAGTCCATCACAGGGCAGACACACACACATATACGTTATTACAAGATAATAGAAAATCCAAATTTGATTGTGAGTACAAACATAAAAATGACAAGTAATTAAAACCATATTCTTAGATGTTTATTCAGTGTATAAATATAAATTTCAGTTCTAAGGCATTTTTCCGTATCATACAAAATTTCCTTGGACATGAATGGGTTAACAGCTATTGTTTATATATATATATATATATATATATATATATATATATAGACAGCTTATTACAGTAGTCGCAATTACCAACACAAGATAAACATAAAACACAAGATGTTTTATGAAGTAAATAACACTGAACTAAAGTAACAGACATCTGTTCTATTTATAATACTGTTATGAAGTATCATTCCCACCTATACAGCAGAGACCTACTTAAGAACACTATATATCAATTCTAATCAAAGCACAAAAGTACAGTTTCTGTTAAGAAGACTTTTTTGGCTGCAGAACAACTATCTCAGTTTTTCATGTCTGCAGCCACACATGTTGCAATAACTGCAATAACTTACAGTACATTTACTTTTGATACTTTTACATTTAAAAGCAACTCATTGTGTACTGCTGTACTCAAATAGAAATACAGAGAAGGGGCTTCTACTTTTAAATATAAAATAATTCAAGCAAAGTTTTACCAGTTGTCTCTTTACTCAAGTGTAGGATTTTTGTATAGGAATATGGGAAACTATGTGTGAAAATCATGATTTACATTTGAGGGCTTCAAAATCTTATAAAAACCTGATATATGGAACTTTTTACACAGTCCCTGCCCTATAAGTTCTGTTACTTGGGAATAATACTTCGTAAGAGTGTTATAAATAGAACAAAAGTCCATCACTTAACTTTAAGAGACCTTTAAGAGATCTTACTTCACAAAACATCTTATGTCGTCTAGCGAATAATGGTATAAGCTATTCACATATATACTCAAGTCTTGCGTTATAAATATATCATTCAATGCTAATGCATATGTAATGAAGTCCCTATGAAAGTAGCCTTCAAATGAAGTCTGACCTAATATTCTTCATGTAAGCTGGAAAGCAACGATCATTTCTAGGCAGAGAGAGCACAAATAGGTGAAGAGAGAGAGAAGGATCTCCAGCAGTATTTTTTACTGGCTGCCTGTTGGAGTCTGTTATCAACTGAGAGGATTGGGTCTGTCTGGGGAGCAGGTATGAGCCAGATTAACCATAGTGCACACTCACGTGTTTAGGGTACACAACTTCACACGCAGATACACAGACGAGATTCATGGGAAATGGTAGGTATGCGGAGTTGAAATTCCCACCTTCTTTATCTCGTCTGCTCGTCTCTGGCAGGCGTCTGCTGGGCTGAAGGGAACAGACTTTCTTTGGAAAAGAGAGAGCCAAGTCCCCCTGGGCCCTCTGTTTTTAGTTTGCGTGGCTGTTTATAAGGGCTCAAAGACACTGTTAATTTTGTCGGAATGTCTTGTATCTTCACTTAAAGCCGCCGAGGGCATGTGGTCAACACCAAGTTTTGTTAAAGAATCAGCTGAGTATTTTTATAACATACAATTGGGATTTATTACGTTTGCCATTTCATGTTGGAATTTATGATGTCATGTGCTATTTGAACAGGTCTGCAGGTCTTTAGTCCAGATGTGAATGTTGCTAAAATGTAGCATCTGTTTTCTCATTTCCTGAGTAGTGTTGCACTTTTGGCAAGAAGACCTTGGATCGATCAGATGCTAAACTTGTGTAACATACAAGCAACTAATCAAACCTTTGGCTGATTCCTACAAGGCTGAGGAGCATCGCCGCTGACCCAGAAATCCATCCCCTAAATATGACAACACACTTTAGGCCGTGAGTGTGACATCTCCATTTTCTCTGAGACGACTGGCTCCAGAGGGCCGTGACTAAAGCAGTCGTCATGGAGCTGTTGCGTTGCTTGAAGAGTGAGCTTTAAAAGCCCTGCTTATCTAACAGGCTTAGGCTATCACTGCCTCTCTCACTGCACTCTTCCTCCAGCCCCCTCTGTCCCCCCTGTCTGCCACAGCACTGCCCCCATCCACATGCCCTCATGTTCTCACACACATACATGTGGTTTTGCCTGTGGGAAGAGGGTGTGTGTGTGTGCAAGGGAAGGAGGGAAGCTGCCTCCCCTCTTATTCCAGCTGCCCACCTTAGATAGAAGCAAGGGCTCAACCTTTCCATCGTGACCCCTCTCTGTTTGCTTTTGCACCCCTTTTTTCCCCTCGTGCAGTGTTCAGGATGGCGATTTGATAAGACTTTCAGATACAGTTAAAAGCTGTTGATGAGAGACATTATGTGCAGGTCCTGATCACACTGATTCAACATATGTGACCTTTATATTGACCAGTATGAACGAACATGTATGTGTACATATATATGTGTTACAAGAGCTCAGGTGTATGAAAGCTGCTGAGATGCCACTAATATATATATATATATATATATATTATATATATATAATGTAAAGCATAATGAGAAATATTACATGTTAAGCCTTAGATTTAAAATGTTTTCTTTTGCTGAGAGAATTTTTGCAGTATGTTCTATTTTCTCCTCTTCATCTATCTCTCTCTCTCTCTTTCTCTCTCTCTCCTCCCTTCCTCTCTGTCTGTGGGTGGTTCATAAGTCATATATTCCTGTAGCTGAGGTTGATAATGTTAGAGAATGTAGGTATCACAGTTGAATGCTAACTCTCCCGCTCTCTCTCTCTCTCTCTCTCTCTCTCTCTCCTCTCTCTCTCTCTCCCTCGCTCTTGTGCAGATCGCACTGAGAAGCGCTCCACCATGCCCGACTCACCTGCCGATGTGAAAACACAGTCCAGGTTAACTCCACCCACCATGCCTCCTCCCCCCAGCACACAAGGAGCTCCCAGAACCAGCTCCTTCACGCCCACCACATGTGAGTGCCACACACTCACACACGGACACAGGCATGAAGTGAATCTCTAATTTTAATCACCAGATTAGGATTCTATATTAGACAATTCAGTACATCATTAAATCTGAAGTTTAGTCTAATTTTATTTGATAATTTTGAAAAGAAATTCAGAAAAAAATACGCTGAATACATGAACGTGACTGAAGGAACTGTTTACACAATGGTGGAATATAGATCATAAAAACAATGACAGAAATGTGGGAGGTGGAGGTTCTGAGGGGGCTGCAGCATTAAAAATATTATTATTATTATTATTATTATTATTATTAATAATAATAATAATTTTAAAAATATTATTATCATCATTATTATTATTATTACTAATCTGTTTTTTTTAATTCCCCGCGACCCAGAAGGATAAGCGGTTTAGAAAATATGTGTTTTGTTTTTTAATTTTCTGGTTTTTTTTTCACTGATTTTCAAAACCTGCAGTCTTTATCCACTGCTTAATGCTGTATTTTCAATACAGCCAGCTGACTTGCTTCCCTCACCAGCTGTTTGCCACTTTGGTAGGTGTGTCGCTACAACACAAGCAAATTTAGCCTGGGCTTAAATTTAATTTTAAAAGAAAATCAACTGACACAATAGTGTATTACGTTTTGAATACATTAATTGTTTTTTTCAACCATATCTCTGCCTTGGTCTGTTTGAGCATTGAACCCCAGCATGTAGCCTCGCTATGGGCATGAAGAAATCAGTTACCGCCCACATATCAACAATCTGATTGGTCGCCGATCAGCTCATTTGAAGAAAGTTGGTCCAGAGCAACAGTTCTGTTCAAAAAAATTCAAAGGGAACAACAATTGGTTGTCATTTTACATGAAGTTACTGTATATGTCACTTAAATGCTGCTTAAAACTTCAGTACCCCCAGCTTTCCCATGTGTCTGTAAACCATGTTTTTGGAAAATGAATTGAAAATTTATATTAGCTAAAATTAAAAAAGATGTTTATTGAATATGATTTTCAATTATTCAAGAATCATTATTAGGATTCAGTGCAGTTGAATGACATTTTTCACATGCATCAATAACGCACATCACAAAAATTCCACCTGTTAAAGGCAGACGATGTACTGGACAGTGTTGAGGGGCTGTGCAGCAGCAGCCTCGCTCTCTGCTGTCTCCAGCAGGCTGCTGACTGGTGTCTGAGAGAGAGCATCACGCATGAGAACCCAGGGGACTGCCTGAGCGACTCCGTATCAAAGCCAGGCTCACTGCTCCCTCACAACCCTGACTGAGGGTAATTGAGTAGTGCTGTGCTGTCTGCAGTGCTAACATGCTCCTTTCTCCCTCTCTGGTGCCAGATCCCTAAAAAACAGATCACTCGGACTCTGCAATTAGCGCTTATGAAAAAAAAAAAACAGCAAGCTGGCTCCAAAGCAATGAGGAGCCTTTTAAAGGCAGACTCTAATTACACATGCTGAAGGTTTAACAAAGCAAGCGCTTTGATTTCCCCCCATGTAATTGTTACCAGATGCAGCTGAAGTATCTCGTTTCTGTGCTGTTGGAGAGAGGCCAGGCAGGCGAGGCTATCACACAGCCTAATCTCATTAGAGAGACGTTGACGCCATGCTGGATCCCCTCTCGCGTATGGTTCACATCATCACACTGGGCACGTTTGACCACATGCATTCTCCCCTGCTACATTTCATATGTCTGATGTGCAGTACAAGAGCACATGGCTACACCCTTAAGGCCACCAGGGCTGATTGGAAGCAAATGCTGCTGTGTTGCAAGAGATTTGAGGAAGCATTATCAGTGGGTCCCAGTCATACATGGAGTGGCAGTTGATTACAGTGTTTTTGTTTTTTTGTTTTTTTTTTTTCAGCTTTGAATGTAGGTCCTTTAGTGGACTGGGTTAAAAACATCGGGCATGTTGTACTCATCTTGGTTGTCATACTTGATTATGATGACTTGTTTTTTTCTGGCTTTTCAGTAACAAATGGCACCAGTCACTCTCCTACTGCGCTGAACGGAGCTCCTTCTCCACCCAACGCTTTCAGCAACGGCCCTTCGTCCTCGTCCTCCTCCTCTCTGGCCAATCAGCAGCTCCCACCAGCCTGCGGAGCCCGGCAGCTCAGCAAGCTAAAGCGATTTCTTACCACACTGCAGCAGTTTGGCAACGACATCTCACCCGAGATCGGCGAGCGAGTCCGCACGCTGGTGTTGGGCCTCGTGGTGAGTCCACACACTTTTTAGTGGATTATATTTAGTGTTTCCTTTAGATCTTATTCAAGCCAGTTGGTAGACCCTTCCAAACAATCAGTGTTGTCATACGTATGTGGTGTGACATTTGGGGCCAGAGTAGATTTACAAATAATACAGTTTCTTTTTTTTGTAATTTAAGGGTGCTTTCACACCTACCTTCAAATTTTGCAGTTTGGTCCGAACCATAACAGCAGGTGTGAAAGGTGCCTTGGGCCACAGTCCAGTCCAAAGGACCAAAATTTGGTCCAACTAAAAGAGGTGGTCTCAGTCCGGATCAAACTGAACCATGTGTTGGTTCTTTTGCAGTGTGAAAACCCTTTTGTGAATGGTTCAGACTTTTGGACGCAAGTCTGAACCATCCACATTTGCCCTTTTCTTTTGGGCAAAAAGGACCAAAAAAACATGAACTAACAAACGATAGGAAGCAACTGTTAGCCCTAAGTTACATCCTAATGTCTGTATCTCATCCAAGCCAGTTAGTTTGACTGAATGCACAGCAGAGCCTGTTTAATGATAGGGGTAACACTAATATTAGTCACTTTCAACATATTAATCATTATGCAGAATAGGTTGGATTATTACAAGGGATTGGGACCAGGATCATCACATATTCAAGCACAAACATCTTCTTTCTGTGCGCCTAAAAAAATAGGCTTCTGTAAAAGATGCCTTACTAACACAGCCATATGCAGGCTCATAGAGGCGAATACAGACAACAAAAATGAGTTTGTGTTGTTATTCCTTCACTTCTTAAGGATTTTGTCTTGTCTGCAGCAAAAGCTATGGGAAAAAATAGTAGCTCATCCAACAAATTGGATATAGATGTCTGCAGCTGGGTCCAGCGACATACTGTACCTGGTCTCAGATCCAGCTGACTGAATATGCAGCTCCAGCTAAGAAAGCATTTCTACGAATAATATCTAGTTATGAAGTAAGCGGTGGTAAAATAACTGTGCCTTTACCAGAGGAGGGCTGCTTTAATTAGCCTCTCTGAAGGAAGGTTCTTTTTTGGCGTGTGTTTGTTTATTTTTCACAGTGTCTACACGCAGAGGCTTCCTTGTGTCCCCTTGGCTTCCATAGCTCGCTTTAATACGCTCCCCTCTCTGCCTTATTGAAAAGAGTGACACACTTAATTAGCGCCGGCGATGCTGGAGAAAAGCTCAGGAGGCTTTCTGGCTGTCAAAACAGGCCGCTGCAATCTGGGCGAACAGATGTAAGCCTAATGTAACAAAATTCAGGTCTGGGAAATGAGGAAAAAGCTGTGTATTTTTCTCCAATGCACTCCCTCTCTCCCTCTTTCTCTCTCCCTCTCTCTCGCTTCCCTATTTTTTTTCTTTTTCTTTTTTTTTTCGCGCTCCTTCTTGGAAATAACATCTTGAAAATTGAAAATAGTGTCACCATCCTGTCAGTCTGTTAAAATGAGATAGAGCAGTGAGAGTGGGAGATAGAAATTAGTCATTTCTTTTTTTTTTTCATTGCGATAGGAGTTGTAGGCAGGCATGGAGCAGCTGGAAGGGGCGATACATGCCAGCTCGGCAGAGATCAGAGACTAGCGAGAAGCAATATCCTTATTAAACAGATCAAACCGCCTCTCCTACACCCCATGTAAAGCAGCCGCCGGCCTGCTACATACATGTTGTGATATGTACGTTATCTTGTATCTTTTAGGCAGACACCAGAGGCGCAGTTAACTTGCAAGGTTTAACATTGACATTGTTGTTATTACTGGGGTTTGTGTGCGTGTACGCATTCACACTTGGGCTTCAGTCAATATTTGCACACGTTAGGAGCGGCCAAGGCAAACGTCCACATACGTGGCCCTCCATATGCCTCCCATTCACCCCTCAAATCATTCAATCTGCAGCAGGATATAGTTTTGCCTCCAATAAGTAATATTATCACATAATGTTTTCCACATGTACTCATGCGTGTGCTTCTTCTCCCTCTCTCTTTCCCTCTAGAACTCCACTTTAACCATAGAGGAATTCCACTCCAAGCTGCAAGAAGCGACAAACTTCCCGCTCCGACCTTTTGTCATCCCATTTCTGAAGGTATTGCACAAGCCAACGATCTGGAAAGCATTTAAACAGCTCTGGAGCTGAGACGCAGATGTGCATTTTTCTCTTAGTTCATCTTTGTTTTTTTTTGTTTTTTTTTGCTTTTTTATCCCTCCCTCTCTCTGAGTTCAGGGAAGAAAAGGATCCGGCATAAATGGATATGTGAATTCCCTCCATGAGTTGAAAGACCTTGAATTTCCTGTGCACTGGGACCTAATTTTTGTTTCTCCTTTTTTTTGGTAATATTTTATGTGGAAATGAGGGATGTAAACCCACACAAGCCCCCAGTGTAATAGTGCAAGCGCGGTTCTTTTTTGTTCAAACTGCCTGATGGAGTCCCCTGTTTGGTAATCGATTTCTTCGTGTGGTAGATGTTGGAGGGGAGCGCACGTTTGAAACCATTAGCAGAGCAACATGAGCTGCTGCGCCGCTCTGAAAGAACACCAGCCAGTGCCCTGGTCTCACTCCATTTGTCACTGGGCTACTTATTACATTACAGCTCAGAGTGGCTTGTGTCTGTTTATGTTAGGCCACTTAAAGTGAAATGCTTAGGGAAATAAATGGATCATGAGTGCAAATAGGTTAAATTGCATCTAGGCTTGATTTTGTAAAGCATTAATAATGTCAAATGGCATTGTGCGATAAGAAGTATTTATATTTGGCGAACAGTACATACAAATAGATAACGATATTATGTTGTAACTAATCGTTTTGTTGTATTGCTGGTGTGTTAGCTTGTGCATTAACTCAGGGAAGGTATAGTAGCTTGTTCCTGGCTTTTTATATTGGCACAGCTTTTATTGTTACATATTTTTTACTAAGAAACAGGCCTGAATGGATTAAGCAAGTCTCTAGTATTGCACTTTTATAATAGTAAATGTTCTATAAATAAATAAAGAAATAGAGTCTTTCTGCAGGCCCCTTAGTTGCCATTCCAATAGTAGAATGGAAATCTGGTTGAATATTTTCATTTAACTGTTATCTGTTTAGCTAGAACACTGTTGGCTCTTTGTGCATGAAATGTTGTGTTGAGCTGTTAGTGAGCAATGAGCAAGGGACCTCCAAAACAGGCAGAAATTGCATTTGATTGCTACTGTAAAAAAGGGTTAATGTGTTGCCGTAAGGCACAATTTAATGCTCTACGATCCAGAATATGTACTGAATCAACACCCCACCATATCATATCTATCTAAAGTATACATTTTGTAAATTATTACATCCCTAATTTATATACTGCTTGATTGTATGTGGATGCTGATAAGCTTGTCATGAGCTGTGTTTGAATACAGCTAAATCCACCGCTCTTAACCTGGACTCATTCATCCTCATCTGCTTAGAAATGACAGCTGTTATACAGCACACCAGCACACCTCCCTCTTTGTGTAACCTTCATACCCTCCCCCCTCACCATCCCTCCCTTTCTCTCACTTTCTCACACACACGCACACACACACATTTTTGCACACGCTCTCAGTCTGTTTTACTCGCACACGCGTTCTCACTTTAACAATGAAATAAGCAGTTGTTGGAAATGGCTCGAGTCCAAGTTGTTTACTACACAAGAGGATGATGGAATGGGGTCCCTTCATTCGATGAGAGCGGAACATGGCCCCTTTCACGCCGAGTGGCATTCTCCGGCATTTCGTCTTGTCCACGGGCAGCCCTGGGCGGCTGTGCACTGCAGAAATTGGTCCCATTAGGCGTTGTGCTGGTCGCTGACGGATGCAGGGAAGCATACAGGGACACTTCCCCCCGCTCCGTCTCTCTGCGCCGCGCCATATGGTTACTGTATCATGCAGTCAGGAGGGGTGCTATCAAAGATGCAACTTGTGTTCTCACTCTGTCTCTCTCTCTCTCTCTCTCTCTCTCTTTGTCTCTTACTCACTCTCTCTCTCTCTTCTGTCTTTCTGTCGCTCTCTCTCTCACTCTGTCTCTCTCTCTCTCATCTAATTTTAGTGCTTTTCCTCAAAGGAGCCTTTAATGACAAATACCATATGGCTGTGGGAACAGGGGCTTTTATAAGTGCACAGAAGCGCAGCTGCAACAATGTGCATTAGAGGCGTTTTTTCATTAGGCTAATGTCATCTAACAACCCTCCCTTCAGTGTTGGGTTTGTGGAGAAGTGCTTACTGGAAGGGCAATGCGCACCATGCTAATGATGTAATCTGGAGTCAATACCAGCTGACTGCTTTTGTGTTGATAATTTTTTGTGTATGATTTCTCTAAATGGCTGTTTTCTTAGATGTCAGACTTGAGCTGGAATATGAGGATTTTACTCCATGTCTCTCCGAAGCACAGAGCCAGGCTGTTCTGGGACACGCACAGCAGGGCAGGGTTAGTGTTCTACCACATGCTAGCAGTGGGAGGAAGTGAGGATTACGCAGATATGTGGCTCATTGCTTTGTGGTTTGTCTTTGATACAGTAGTTAGTACAACTAGCTGTGTGCTAATGGACCACACGAAAACAGAGGACTGCACAGAGCTTTTAAGCGTCGTTTAAACAGTATATTTCCTCAGTCTCTCAGAAAGTACTTTCGTGTATATTATTAATTATGAGAGTGATAACCGAGAATGAAAACTAAAAACTGAAAGTTGTTCTTTTATTTGCTTTTCAATGAATGTAGGAAGCATACAAATCTAGAAGGTAAAAAAGAAAATACAATTTTGTTATTAATCATTATCCTTTATGCTTTTAATAGGGTAAAACTGAGCAATAAATAGAAACAGTTTACATAAAGTAAATCCTTTAAAAAAATAAAATATTATAATATGTAGGCTACATAAATTTTTGTCATTTGGGATTTTTTTCCAGCATTTGAAAAACTGAGACTACAGATAACATCTGTAGCATACTTTCATGTATAATAACCTGTAGTGGAGAGATTCTTGAGAGTCATATGCTCTCTTGATACTCAACATCTACAGAGATTATGAATAGCAGTGGAATTATGAATAACAGTGAAATAGTTCCATGTGGCATGTGACTTTTTCTGCTGTTAATCTGCTGCCTCTCAAGCTGTTTGAACAAGACTATGCAGGAGAGTGAAGGAAAGTGTTTTCATTCACTACTAAAATTTAAAACGTTAGATTTTTATTCAGCATTTCACATACTGTCCTGCACCAAAACCAATTAAAAAGGACTGATTCTGTTGTCTTTTTTAATGAAACATGCAGTTGTTCATATACCGACAATATCCATAATATGCTCAGAAAAGCAAATTTTTTATCTCTAAAGTATATCAAGATAACAAGAAAATATTGTCACATCGCCCACCTCTAGTATATGATGGTTGGCTAGTGTGTCTAAATAAACTGGGTACCACTTTACAGAAGGGCAGCATTTGAAAGGCTACATGACACTTACATATGCATATATAATAACAACTGACATAAACCTACATTACCATTCATAAAGGCTGATTCCAAAAAGCCTCAGTTTTTCGCCTCAGAAAGTATTGCCATCTGACTCTTGTTGGAAAAACCCTTCATAAATGGGTTCATATGAGTTTATATCAGTTGTTATGACAGACTTATTCCTTATGAATGCAACCCTTCAGTAAACTGTAACCATAAATTGTTTGAACAGGCTTTCCAAGTCCAATGGATGGACATTTTGTGCTCATAATTGCTTAATACATAATTCACTACAAGAGCTGCCACTGAGGGTGACCTGTCACTAATTGTGATGACCTTCAGTTAATGAAAGTCTGAGGTCACTGGAGTCAAAGCAATCTCTCTCCCCTCTGGTAATTACCATCGTAAGCTGTTAACGCACCATTACCTCAGCCAGCCAGTGACCAGGGGCAGCTTTTCTCAGCTCGTGTCACTATCACCACTGAAGTTTATTTTCCATAATAGACCCTGGATAGAAATTTGGAATGGAATTAGAAGTACGCTTCATGCATATTTTTCAAAGGGTTGTCCAGTTCACAGCTCCTAGTAGGCATGACGTCTTTGAAATAGAGCACTATGGTTACCTCCGGAGAGAGAAAGGAAAAAGAAAGAGTGCACTTGTGCAGGTGCCTTATATGCTGTTTGGCTGCTGTAATGCCCACACTGTTTTCTGGATGGGGAGTTATGAAAACCTTTCATCTGCCGTAAAAATGCTCCTCTTTCGCACTGCTTTGAAGTGGCAAAGCCTCCGAGTGCTTTTTGGAGAAAGCCAGCTCACCTCCTAGTAATCAGCACTGAGAGAGAGAGAGACACGGAGGTAATGAGAGAGAGAAAGAGAGATAATGCTGGCCACTCTTAAACCACCTGCTTTGAAGATGGCACTTTCCATGTTGACTGTGATTTTTACATGCCCCGGTGCCAGGCAGAGGGAAGACTGAAAGCACTAATGCATGGTTAGGGTCACAGGCGAGACGACGCTAAGCAAGAAAGCACCGAAGTGAGGCCCATGGCTCCGCACATTTTACCTCCAAAGAGCTTCCCCACAATCACTGTAATGGGTAAACAATGCTTGTAAAAACACTGGAATGTGGCCAAGTGCATTGTGACATGCTGTCTTTGTCTGACTGGTGCAGTGCCAGAGCTAAGCGCTATCTCCCCCTACAGGCCAACCTGCCGCTACTGCAGAGGGAGCTGCTGCACTGCGCTCGGCTGGCCAAGCAGAACCCGGCGCAGTATCTGGCCCAGCACGAGCAGCTGCTGCTGGACACCAGCATCGTATCTCCCGTCGACTCCTCCGAGCTGCTGCTGGACGTCAATGAGAATGGAAAGAGGAGGACGCCAGACAGGTCAGTCTGCTCTGCTGGGACTGAAGTGAACGAAGATAGAATTGTAATGAACAAAGACATGGTGGCTTCTTCACTGTGGCTCAACCAATACGCATTTAGGCTATTTTTACCTGTGTTATCATTTATCAGCCTGTATTGCTGACATAAAGGTGAGCAGGTGTTGACCGGAATTGTAGCAGTGTCTAAAAGTGTGATAAATGATAATGACACCACCAAATTCTCAAAAGAGGATGGTTTTCCTTACATCAGTGTGGTCTGTTTGTTACAAAGTAGTTATCTGTGCTTTATTGGTGAGATTTTTGCAGATACCAATAAATTAATAATGTTAGTGTCAATCAGTATTATTTTCCAGTCAGGATATGAGTCAGGCCTTTACCTTTGCTGTCAGTGGTTGGCACTAGAAGACTACAGCCCTAATTGCTGGATCAGAAGGAGATGTTTAAAGATGAGCTTGGCTAGTCTTTGCTAGAGCGAGCCACTCTTTGTATACTGCAGTATCATGGACCATTGACTTTCTCTGCAGCTCACTTTAATGAGGCAGAACTTTGCTTTCCAATGGAGGAGAGTCTAAAATAGACACATCTGGGGAGTACAGAAAAACTAAGGCTGCAGCCAAAACTGCATACTGCCATAGTAATAGTACGTCAAAATAGTACACATTTGTTTGCTGTGTATTGATCAGTTTAGTATATTGTCCCTGTCCAAATCTCCAAAATGGTAACTTTACAGGAGAGGGCAAGAAAAATCATTACTTTTAACAAAAATTAATGAGGCGATTTTAGAGGATTCTGTTGGTCCAGTCATCAAGACAAGGGTCACTGCTGTGTTCAAATGATGACAAAAACCTTTTGGACAGCAACAATATGTAGTGTGGTTTTGGATGCAGCTTAAGTAAAGAGGCAGTGAGTCATGCAGGCCAGTTTGGGTTAGCAAACCAAAGCAAGCCTCAGGTCTGCATGTCTGCTTTAAACTTATAGGAAGGTACAGAAAAATAGATAAACATCTTCTTACCTTAATATGAAAAGCACATTGTCCTGTTTTCAGTGCAAAAAAATAAATAAAATGTACTTTTTTATTAAAAAATAAGATCTGATATTAATACATATCACCCCAAGTCCCAGTGGCTACGAGCACCAAGCATGCGGTCCTCCTTTGCTCTTTTTTTTTCTATAATACCTGCATATTTGCGGGAACTTTAATGCCTGGTGAGGTGAGCCTGGGGGAATGGCTGATAACACATACAGATGAGGCCGAGTTCCCATCCGGCTGGCTAAGCGCTTCTGTTTCTGCTTAGCTCTGCACGCCTCGCTTCGCCTCGCCGCACTATGAGCAGCGAGGAGAGCAAACGTAATATTGGAATTTGAATGGGATCTACGGCGTTCTTAATCACACGGTACAATGTAGGGTCACTACAGTCTGATTAATATCAAAGGGTTTGGAAAGTACGCCTACAGAGTTGAGAGAGCTCCCCAGAATGCATGCATAGTGCTTTTCTCTTCATTTAAAAGAGAAATGTGTGAGGACACCTATTTGAATAAAATATTCCATTGTGCCGCATGGCCTCTATATCTGTGAAAAGTAAAGAAGCTGAAAAAAAGCGCTTGAATTTAAATGAGCTTGGCTTAGATTCAGTGAATCTCTAGTGATGCAACAGAAATATCTGAATGTAGAGAAAGACGAAATTTCTTTTGCGAGCTGTCTGAGATTATTATATTATTTTTCTGCTTTTAGGATATTTACTGCAGTTCCTCAGGTGACTGTTGTGTTTTAAAAATAAAGGGTAAAATCCTGTTTTGAGAAATGAGGGAGAAAGTTGGAGTGAATTTGAGTTTTTTTGAGAATTCTTTTAACCGATAACCAACTGTCATTAGTCAGTGATTAATCGTTAACCAGCATGCCTAAAAGGACACGACTCATTCACAGTATCAGTTATAAAACAGGAACTTCCAGTTCTGAAATCTGATTGGCTGAGCTATGTTCGAAGCCACTGTAAAATACTTTATATGCACACTTAAAAGCGCACACATCAGCTGAATTCTGTATTAATACACTGAGATGTTAAAAAGTGTTCCTTGGATGGACCATGGAACGTAGTACTGATAGATGGGATCAGACATCCGCTTATACATAAAGTAAACGACCTGAAACCATTGTAAACATACCAACCAACCATGACTGTATATAAAATGATGAGCAACTACAAGTTCTATATTCCCAAACGGCACTATTTTTTGGCTGCAAGCTTCAATGATAATAAGGCCTCGTGGCTACTGTACCTTCATGCGTACGGTTTAGGATCTCAAATGAACCTGTCCTGATCTAAAAGAAGATTATTAGAATCTAGCTTATTGGAAATTAAATAAAACGTAGTTCAAACATTTTTTTAACCGATAGCATTGGTTGAACAATTTATTTTTTGGTTTATGGTTAATCGTTCCATCATCACCATCCCTACTTCCTTCGATTTGAGTCAATATATCAATAGATATTTAGAATGGAATTAAGAGCATAGTACTGGAGTTGTGCAGTGCAGTGCTCCTAGGTTTAGGCATGACATCTCTGAAATGACATTCTATGGTTGTTAATGAAGAGAGAAATAAGAGGTCAAAATGAAGCCTGATGCAGTGTTTTGTATACTGTAAGAGGTAAAGCAGAAAAAGGTTGAATTGAAAGCTGCAGTGTTTGAAACTGGAGGAGGGGCAGGTAGAAGAAAAGCAGTAATATTTCATAGGTGCGGAGCTGTGTGTGTTGGGGGAAGGGGGCTCTAGGAAGCATATGGAGTGTGGTGGATGAGCATTAGGAGTCCATAAAAGCGGCTCATTAGGAAGTTCAGTCTGTTTGAGCAGTAACACAGGGAGCTCCACCTCATGGGGAGGAGAGCCTCAGAACACACATCCAACACACACTAGAGCTGCAGTGAGCTGCTAGTTATTTCCATAATCAGTTAATCGGGGGAAAAAAATGATTATTAGTTTGTCAGTAATTAGCATTAAATAATTAAAATTATATACAGTGTTTCATTTAAAAAAACATTTCTCCTTTTACACAATGCTCTTTCAAACATAAAACACTTGGCATATCTTCTAAATCATCCTCACAGAAAAATAAGAGGACAGTAAGTATGGAGGATGGGGCTATAGAAACAGATCTGACGTTGATCAAACCTGATATTACTGACCACATACAAGACACGCACAGTCCTGACTCAACGCAGCAAAACAGCACTGAGCATGCACGAGTCCAGTGCTTTCAAAAAAGAGAAGTTACACAAAATACAACAGCAAATGGAGTTTTAAAAACCCTCTGCTATAGTGAGCGATTGCCAAAAGCTCAGTATTCACTGACCTAGAACGTTTTTGTGTGAACAGGAGGCCAAAACACAGAGGACAAAAAGAACATTTTAAGAATGTAACCATGGTAACGGAATAGCATCGCAACCATGCAATTTAAACAACATTGAAATACAGTTCATTCCTTCAGTCAACATTGTCTAGTTTTCTACTTCATTTAAATAGAACTAGCTGAATATCTGGCAATGACATGCTATTTTGACTTTTAACTGTGGTTTAAGTAACATTTTCATAGTTATTCATCATCCTGTGTTTTTTGTTTCACGCAAAAGTCATACTTTTATGTCAAGAGAGCTCAGCTTTCCACAATTTACAGGAAAAGATCTTTTTAGACAAGTGTATTGTTTCCATATTTTTGTATTTTTTGTTCATGCACAACCCTGCACTGCAGTCTCCGCTGTCTGTATTGTCTTCAAATGAAGTGATGGGAATATTACATATGAATTGCAAGCATTGTCAGGCTTAATCGGTAACTAGTTGAAAACAAGGTTTTTATCACACATACGCACACCTGTAGGTATCAGAACAAGTGCACACTTTGCTCATGGTCACTGACACATGAAAGGAGTGAAGGACGTTGCAGTGCCAAAGCTCCAGGGGTTTCCACGCAGCAGGGTTGTGTGGGGTCAAGTGTGCTGTGACTCATACAAGCGAACATCCTTTAAGGTCTTCAGACCACACACCAACAACACATCCTTTATAGTGAGAATACAGCTCTCTCTCCATCTCTGGTTGTAATGTGCCGATATGTTCAGTGGTAGGAATGACAGAAAGCCGTGTTGCCTCAGGAGCAGTTTCAGCAGTTTTCAAACGTGCTCTTGACACAGCCAAAACCAGAGAACAGCGGAGACACCACATCTTTGCAGACATCCTTCTCAGTGTCACCTTCTCTGACACCCTCAGTGCTCAGAATTCTCTCTTTCTCCTCCTTTACTCTTCTCCTTTTTCATAACCCCCATTCCGCCCCCTCTCACCCTTCTTTCCTCCCTCCAGAACCAAAGAGAACGGCTTTGAGAGGGAGCCACCACATCCGGAGCACCCAAGCAAGCGGCCCTGCACCATCAGCCCGGGGCAGCGTTTCAGCCCCTCCAACGGGCTCTCCTACCAGCCCAACGGCCTGCCTCACCCCACACCGCCCCCGCCACAGCACTACCGCCTGGATGACATGGCCATCGCCCACCACTACAGAGACACCTACCGCCACCCCAACCACCGGGAGCTCCGCGAACGCCCACGGCCGCTCGGTACGCTCAGGGAGGGAGGGGCTTCTGTACATACATGACATCACAATTAAATTTGATTATAGTTCCCTAGGAAACAATTCAGTGTCTCTCAGATTTCACCACGACTTGATTCTGTCTAATTATTTTGATGCATAATTATGTTTAGAAATACACTGAATATACAAATATGACTGGAGGAATTATTTACACAGCAGTAGAATGCAGACATTAAAAACAAAACACAATATTTGTTTTTTGTTTTCTGGGGATTTTTAAGACTTTTGTCCAAAAAATGAGCACGTACTCCACTGAATATTATTAAAACGCAACGGAATCACATCTAGAAGTCCAAAATCAGTGGAGTAGGGCTGCAAATATTGACGAATTCTTTTGGCCGATGACCACCCATGGTTAGTCTGCAGTTACACGTTAACCAACAGGCCTAAAATTAAGGATGCAACCCATCAGACTATCAGCGCATATAAAAACAGAAAGAGAGTTGCATGTCAAAGGCAAAATCCTAGTTATAAAATATTTATTTAGATAGAAACTGTTGTTTATTGGAAATGAAATAAAATTAGCTTTTGTAACTGATAACATTGGTCAAACAATTGTATTTTTATCAGTTAATGGTTAATCTGTTAATCATATACATCCCTACACTGGAAAATATTCAAGTTTCTACACTCCTGTTTGTGATACTGTGAAAGGTTTTTGCTAAATGTATAGATACAGCCTGTGTAGCAGAAGGATCTCTGGTTGATGCCTCACATCCTCCACGTCCTTTTAGAAATTAAATTAGGCAAACCACATGTGGAATAAGGAACATCGTTTAAAGCTGATCTGTGGCACATATATATACTAGCTTGACAAATCACAGCCAAATAGGGCTAAAAATGTGCTAAAAATACGTAAGCGTGCTTCTCTATGATGTATGAATGAGATATATCTGAGCCTGGCAGGCCTAATTCGACCAACAGAGAGACTGTGCCCACAGGGCAGCGCTGTGGAGAAGAGTGAAGAATGAGAGTATATTGGGGGTAGGGGGATGGAGGGGGACGGGGGGGGCAGAGTGTGAGCGATGAAGAGTGTGTGAGTGTGTGTGAGAGATGGCGAGTGTCATGAAGGGCCTGAGTGATCGCGCTGAAACAGACGGGTTTTTATGAAACGACTCCGCTGCTGAGGGCCAGTAGGAGAAATGGGAAATCATGGTACAAATAGCAATGAGTCCAGTCCTTTCTCATTCTGATCTCTTTCCTTTTCTCTCTCTCTCCCTCTCTCTCTCTCTCTCTCTCTGTCTTGCAGGAATGCATGGAGGCTCACGTCAGGAGGAGGTCATTGATCACAGGCTTACAGACAGAGAATGGGCCGAGGAGTGGAAGCACCTTGACCATGTAAGAAAAGTAATAACATTTTTTTATTACTATTCAAAGCACGTACGTGTATGTGTGTCTGTGAGTGGGAGAGAGGTAGAGATTTAATGTTTCATTTAATCAAAGTGGAAAAATGCTTTTTAATGTCTGTCTTTGTGTGACTGTGTGCATATTCATGCATATCGTTGCTGTTGTAACAAAACCTTGTATGTCTGAAATGGTGGCTTTACAGGAGAACATTCTTAACATTTCATGTGTTTTAAAGGGCCCATGTCCTCTTTTTATCCCTTAGCATTAAACACACTGTTTTTGTTACAGTACCTTTAAGACTGATATATGTAAGTGATTCTTATTGGCTGCATTGTTGGGGCTGAAACTCTTTCATTCCAAAAAAGCGAGGAAAATGTGGTTTTCCATGGGTCCTTTGATGTACTATGGTTTTATTTAAAGTCATTTCTGTTAGTCCTTTCATCATGAAATGTTCGTGCAATATAAAGGGCAAATGGTGTTTTTTAAATGATGTATAATAATTGAAACCAAAAAAAAAAGTTATAAGATGTTGATATGGCATTGATGATAACTGTCAGATATTTTTAGCAAATCTTCCTGCGAGTGAAATAGCTCAATACCGTGAACTCCAAATTTGTGAATTAAATCAAGCTACAGCTAGTGTAAACCGTGTTGCCCCTGTTTTGTCTTTTGTACTGTTTGCACTGTGCTGTTGTACTCAGCGTGTCTGTGGTCCACAGCTGCTAAACTGCATCATGGACATGGTGGAGAAGACGCGGCGTTCTCTGACCGTGCTGAGGCGGTGTCAGGAGGCTGACCGCGAGGAACTCAACTACTGGATCCGCCGCTACAGCGACGCTGAGGACCTGAAGAAGAGCTCCAGCAGCAGCAGCAGCCAGTCCAGACAGCAGAGCCCTGCCAGCCAGGACAGCAACCCCACAGGTAGCAGCAGTGAACACTGTCTGAATACCATGCACTGTCCAAATGCAGGGAACCACTGTGTAAAACATAGCTGGCTAAACTGCTTGGAATATTTCTTGTTTTAATAATTATTGATGATGCACCGGTGTGATACACTGGATCAGTATCAGCACTGAGACTGACCTCATTAAACTGGCCGGGTAACGGCCAGACGTGAAAGGTCTAAAGCTTTAAAATGGAAGAGTGTCATTCCAAAACATGAAACACATCAAATTCTCAGTTTGTGTCTTAACTAATACAACTGAATGCTCAACATACAGCTAATAATTATGAATGAATGGCAATACAAGCAAACTCTTGTTTGTTTAAGAAGTTGAGTTTCAAACATGAATGTACCATGTATTTCTTGTACAAAACACTGCAGCGTGTCAAAATAAAACCACCTCTTAAGAAAGTCTGAGAAAGTTCTGATTGGCTGCTCTTTATTGTGCCTAATTCAAAATGTAGTCCAGGTCAAAACATAAATAAATAACATAAATATAAATGAGTGGGGTTAAACTGCTGTGGTCTGAATAGGTGGACATACATAAATGCGTTGGTTTTTGTGACGTCACAGAAAAAGTCTGTTCAAGAAAAGCTGTTTTTTACAGCATAGTTTCCATATACAGACTGAATGAACTGGTTAGTGAATGATATGTTTTAAACCTTAACAATCTTTACCTACTACATCAAACTCTTATTTTAAAAAAGGAAGGAAAGGTTTTACGTGATATAGGCCCTTTTAATTAAATTCACAGAGAATAGGATACGTTCTCAAGTACTGTATTCTGCTGATTTATTGAGGTGAGTTATAACGGAAGAGCCTGTTCCTCTTTCTGTGTGTCAGAGATCCACCGGGAGCTGCTCCACAGGCCAGTATCCGGCTACGTTCCTGAAGAGATCTGGAAGAAAGCAGGTGAATAAGCCCTCTTTGTCCCATTGTTATTGCGCCCCCCCCACACACTCCTACGCACATGCACAAGGAAATTCAAGGGGAAATCATTTGGGCCATTGGTAATAAGGAGCTTTTTTAGTCAATTTATCACACAGTCAGCGCACAGTGCCGCTGAAATTTGTGAATTTGTGTCATGCTGCGCTTTAGAACACTCCCAGATCTCTGGAATATTCTTTTGGAATATTTTTTGAGTCCTGGAGTTTCCTGTGCCTTCTGGAAGAGTGTGTAGGCTCTACAGTGAGCGCCCTAGTGATAGACTTTACTGTAGCAGGGCTCCTGTACACATTCCAGTGGTGACGTTAGATCATAAAGCAAGCGATCAGAGAGCGTTAGTGCTCCCAGGCTTTAGAGCACTTAACTACTTCTGCTATTAGAGCAGGAGGATCTGGCTGGCTCTCCTCTCTCAGCGGCACCATTTTATCTGAGTGTCAGTTAAAAAAATAGATAGCGTGATTAAAAGGCTTTGTTTAAAGAGTAGGTGTTCTGGGTGAACTATGGCAGATGATGGATACTGTAACAGGAGATTGTTTACACTGGCTTCTGCTGACTTAAAGGCATCTGCTGAAGCAGTTGGCATCTTTGCTCTGTGGTCTAATTGAAGGCCTCATAAGGGCAATCTAGCTAATCTAGCCCAAGAAAAAAAGAAAAACGTTATGAACTGGTCTTCATTTTGGTTGAGGCATTGCCATCACAACATTGTAGTACCACCCTGCGCGAATCACTGCAGATTGAAATTCCATCTGAATGGTGGAATATAATCACAGTTAAAATGTACCAGGGAACATAGTTAATTTTCCGTGACCTCAGCCCATCAAACGGAGGACTCGATGCACCAAACCACCGCGGTTTAACAATTCAGTCCAGTCCGGATGAAAATTGGTTCCCATTTTGTAATCCCACATTGCAATCACACTGCAATCACATTTATGATTGAGGAGGATGGTTTGTGTGACCGTGACCATCTATTTCTTTAACGCAGGAGGCATCTACATAACAGTCTAATTCATGACAATTTAGTCCGTAAACGACACTCAAATGCATCCAGACACTTTAGCTGAACAATGTCCATGCTCATTTTCTTTCTGTGCTCCTTTGCTATTAGATATACACTATGAACAAGGAATTCAGGTCTAGCACATTCCTATTTATAGTGATTGAGCATGTATCATGTGGAGAACACTGTAAGTACCTGTTCTGGTTTAAAAAGTGAGTGGATGCAGATCAACCCTTTGTTTTAGACCAACTCTTTACAGTATGCAATGAATATTCATACCCTTTCCATGCAGTGTCCTACCAGTTTTCATATCCTGTACTGCACGGGCCTCTGGGAGCACAATTGAAATGCATAATTTAAATATAAATTGCCTGATTTGCATATATAATTAGACAAGGTGCAGCTTTGAATGCTGAAAACAACAAAAAAAACCCATCTCCTGGTCCTGCCACTCAGATGAATTTCTGTGTCAAAAGTATTTAGCATCAATGCAATAACAATGCAAAACTCACCAATAAAGTGTCAGTCAACAGAAAAAAAAAAAACTCTTTATGCTTTGTAGGTGAAAAATCAGTTGATTACCCTTCCTGTAATCTGTTTTTTTGAGGTAGTGTTGTCGAGATTTTATTTATTTCATTTAATTGTTTTTGAAGCAAGACAAAACAATTGTCCTATTTTCCTTGTTTACTTGTCTTCATCAAACAGATAAAATCCCAGTGATGTTCAAACAAAAATGAATGTTTCTAATTAATCCCAAAATGCCCTTTGTCAGCTTTCCCATGAATCAGACCAATACTTCAATTAAACATCCTGCAATTAGTTTTCGAAAAGGACTTTAATGAGATGGAGGATCAAAAAAAGTAAATAATTACAGTTAATGTTGTTTGGGGCTGATTATATCCTCACTGAATAAGTAACTCTTAAGATATGTAAATTTTGAAAGTAACAGTCTGTCTGTTTGCTGGATGAGTTTTTGTTGTTATACTGAGTTATGTAGGTAACAGCTGTATGTTGATGTCCGTGTCTGGCAGTATTATTAAAGAGGTTAAGCAGGGAAAGGTATTTCATGGTCCTGTGGCATCTCTTTCAGAAGAGGCTGTGAATGAGGTGAAGAGGCAGGCCATGTCCGAGCTGCAGAAGGCCGTAGCTGAAGCTGAACGCAAAGCTCACGAGATGATCAGCACCGAACGTGCAAAGATGGAGCGCACTGTGGCTGAAGCTAAGAGACAAGCGGCTGAGGATGCGCTGTCCGTCATCAACCAACAGGAGGACTCAAGTGAGGTATCTAAGCTACTTAATAGCTACCTAATATATACCTGATTTTAAAGGTAAAATACCCAATTATATGCAACTGTGACAAGATTTAGTCAGTTTTAATGCTTCAAAAATGTTTTAACACTTAAAAAAGTGTATGTTAAATATGAACGTTATGAACGTTGACAATTTTTTTTCCATTAAACTTAAACCTATAAAACATTTATGCATAAATTTAGTGTCATATGACAGATTTTCTTCTTACAAAACATACACAGCATGGTGGAGAGGTAGAGCTGGACTGAGGAGGAGACGAGAGCATTTTTAAAAGGAATGCTTCCACTTTTTGGCTCTTACAGAGAGAGATATCCAGAAAAGGCTACAGCCTTCTAAAAGAAAAGTGCTCACACAGCTCTATATGGCATAGAAACATGATCTCCGCATAATGGTTCAGATGGAAACATAATAATAATTTTAAAAAAGTAAATAAAGGCATATGCAAAAGTTTAAACACCCTGGTCAAACTGCGTTTGGCTGATTTTCTGAGTGAAAATAGGTGCACATCCTCTACATGAGACAAACTTAAATATGGCATTTTTTGTGCTGATTTTTGTGCTGCTGGGCAGCTAAAATTTTAGTTTTTAAGCTTTTTCACTTTATTGCTTTCAGTTTGTGAAGAAATTCAATGGAAATGTAGCTACTGTGTGATCAAATTTTCCTTCTTGATGCACACTGTCAAAAACAGGTTTAGTATTTTGGCTTGCAGCATGGTCATACTTAATCTAATATGACTGGAGGTGGTTCAGCAGAACTAATTATAGTTGTATTTTAATGACGTGTTTAATACCTTCCTATCAACATCCAGTTGTGCCCAAAATCCAGTATGTGTTAATACCAGTTAGCATGCTCTGTGTTCCAGGTTCATATAATTATGTCCTTAGGAATCTGTTCAGTGAATGATTTTGTTCATGGAAATTGTTAGACAACTAAGATGAGAGTAGACTTAAAACATGTCCTAGATACTTCCTCATGCAGGCTGGTGTCATTTAGAAGGAGACAGCATGGCATTCGTCACCTGAGGCAGGGCCTGCCCTTCCTTTGCCTGAATAAGACATTTGGACACTTAAGGTGGTACTGATTTAGTCAGGGAGGGTATTGGGGGAAGAAGCGCGCCGTTACCGAGCACAGTGGGGGTCCGGCTCATTTAATCAGTTAGTGGGGGAAACACGGCACACATCTGAGTTTAATTGCGTGAGCCGTGTTTATGCACACATCTCCCCGGAGGATCGCATCGGTAGCTGTTTATAACTCTGGCTTCCTGTTTCTGCTCCACATTCAGAACTTTGTCATAATTGCTCTTATTTGGCCTGAAGACATATACAAAGAGGCCCTTGCTGGAACCTGAGTAGCGCTGGGATCTGGGAGCATTTTGGAGTTAACCTGTAACAAATGTGTCCTCATGTTCCGCCATGTGGAACAGGGTTAGATGACGCCATCATGAGTCACTTTTTTCAACCTCCGAACCCTCAAAGCGGTCATTTGTCGAGGAAAATAAATTCCTTGTAATTCTGAAATACAATAGATGTAGCCCATCCACCATTCATCTGTATTATTTTATAATTACCCATGACAGACCAAATGCCTTGTTTATGCACGTTGTACCTCTAACCTTCTGCCTGTCCCCTCTCCTCGCAGAGCTGCTGGAACTGCGGGCGCAAAGCGAGCGAAACCTGCAGCGGCTGTAACACGGCCCGCTACTGCGGCTCCTTCTGCCAGCACAAGGACTGGGAGAAGCACCACCACGTGTGTGGCCAGACCTTGCAGGCCCAGCAACAGGGAGACACCCCTGCTACCGTCAGCTCCTCAGCCACTCCCAGCAGCAGCGCAGGCAGCCCTGCAGACACTCCTTCTGCTGCCACGCCCCGCTCAGCCACACCCGGCACCCCTTCCACCATAGAGCCCACGCCGCGCTAGAGCCAGAGGCGACCTCACCTACCTTCACAGCCCTCTGGGACTGCCCTCTCTCTGCCTCGCTTGCTCAAAGATGGTAAAGATAACATGCTAACAAAGAAAAGAGATGATCACCCAGCGGAGGTCCATATCGGGTCATATTGACTTGCCATGATAGAGAACGCAAAGATATTCTTTGTTTTAAAAAATTCTCAGTGTCCTTTATTGTTACTATAGCTACTATTGATTATTGTCGTTAATGTTAACCGTTGTCGTCGTTGCTCTCTTATGTTCTTGTAAATAAGACGAGAAAAAGAAACTGAGTAGACAGCTGAGACCTCTGGATGAGCACATTTGACCTCCCCTTTTTTTTTAAATTTTGTTTGTTTGTTTTCTGTTTTCAATGCTCCTTCCCCTCTCCAGTAGCTGGGATATGAAACTAGTTGACCTCATTGAAAGACACTTTACCAAACAACAAACCAAGGGATTACTTCACAGCTGTTGTAAACAAAGACACAAAGATGTGATAGAAAAAAAGACAGCATTCCAAGACAAAAACAATGAAAAAAAGAAAAACATTAGGGCAGGACACCGTGGAGTGGAAGATGGATGGCATCTCTGGGTTACTTACTGAACTCTGCAGACCCTCAGCACAGTGTGCAGATGTGCAGCAGATTGTAAAGGAACACAGATGTTCATCCCTCGCTTTTCTGAAACTTCTGCGAGACATTTGATCGAATCCAGGTCAGTGGTCTGAGAAATAAAAGTCTGTTTCGCGGAGGAATGTAAAGACACGGAGGACTCAGCAGCCCGTGTGGTTGGCGGAACGTCACACGGCTCCATGGCGAAGGATGCACGCGGGGTCTCGATTCCAGGCGCACTCCATCAGCCCCCAAACAGGACGTGAAGTGATCAGCCCACCCGAGCAGGACTGTCAGATCCTCACTATGACAGCGGCTTGGAAGGAAGGGCTAAAAAATGACCCACACGTTCATCGCAGGCAAGTTCCTCCACTCCTGGAGCCACTCCAGACCTCGTCCTTGTCCTGCCCAGCTCCAGCTCTACCATCAGTCCTCGTTTCGTTTCTGATTTTTCCCCCTCTTAGCTTTCATTGTGTTGAACATTTGTGTCCTGTACTGTCTCCAATGGTTATTTATTGTACGTGTTGGATAATTGTGATGCTTAAAACCACGGTCATACCTTTTAGGCTCATCCCTCTAGCTGGTGCAAAATAACATTCTATCTTGAGCTGCTTTCCTATTTGTGAGTGTTCGTGGTAGTTCCCTAGTAGATCTTTAAAAATAAGAAGAAAAAAAGACGCTTCTCCCCCATTTGTCCTCGAAAAGAAGACAAAAGCTATCTCTCAGAGCTGCTGCTTCAGTCTAACGCCGATCTTTTCTGAGAACTAGCATGTTACATGGAATGCTAACATAAATGTTTTGTACATGGGACGTACATAAATGTATTTGCACTGTCACAAAGTTCCTCTCAGCATGCTTCTTTTTTGGAGTTTCTCGATAGAGAGCCTTACGTCACAGATTTTCTCTGTAGTGCTTCTGTGATTTTTTTTTATTTTCTGTAAAAAGGAAAACAAAAAAAAAACAGGAAAATAGTTTCACAACCTGCTTTTGTTAGTAATGTTTCTTTGTCCTAAACACAATAGCAGAAAGTCATAACTTTTGCTTTGAATAGTTACAGTGCATGCACATTACTGAACGTTGTAATATATGTTGGTTTTTGTTTTGTTTTATATAAAAAAGAAGAAAAAATGTACATTACACTAAGAAACTAACTTTCCAAATGCAGAGGTGTAAAACAGACAGCTTTAACACTGCAAAGCACCAGGTTACACAGTATTACAAAAGAATTAACATGGAAGACAGCCAAAGACAGACATGAAGGACCAAAACCTGATTTTATCCAATATTTAAACATAGAAAAAAGAGATTCACTCAAATGCACCGTGACTTATTCTTTGTTTTATCCGAGTGTTCATCAGGGGAAACCACCTTTCCATTTGAAAACCTTTAACATTCTCCTGTCCAGAGCCAAGACCAGCCCTGCTCAGCTCGTACGGAGACAAAGCCACTGAAGCCGGCGTAGCTATGGCTGAAGGTTTAGAAGATAGTGGTCTGACCTAATGAGCAATAATAGAGAAGGTGGCACAAACCCCCACCCTAATGAGGTTCTCCTTCAGCTATTTTTTTTTTGGCTTCATCAGCTTTAACTGGTTGGAGTATCACCCCAGAAGGGTACGTGGCCGTGGCAATGGGGGGATTTGGAAGTCCAACTAAAGCAGCACACATTCATAAAGAACATATCCAAACATTGAAGCGTATCAGCTCATGTGATACAGTAAAGCCATGTAATATAGAAAGAGACCATTGAAGTTCAAAACTGTTTGCCTGAACCTAAACGAAAGGAACGAAACAAAACAAAACCTCGTCAATGGCTTAGAAAGAAGAGGGGAGGCTTTATGAGCACTTATCCCTCGGCACTGGGAGCGCTCTCCCCGAAAACCATGGTGCTAAACGTCTTGGAGAAAGGCTGGATCTGAGCTGTCTCTGGGCTTTCTCTCTCTCTCTCTCTCTCCCTCTCTCTCTCTCGCTCCCTCCCTTAGGTCTATCTCCCTTTCTCCTTCACTGTCTTTTTCTCTTTCTCTCTAGACTTGCTGAGGTGAAACGACCCAAAAAACAAAACTAGCGAAGGTGTCTGACACCCATTCGCATCACAGAAGCTGTGAGGCAGCCAAGCTGTCTACAAACACTCTAATGTATTGTATTTGAAAAGTATATACAATTAGTGTGGTCAGCATATTCAGGGCAAGCTGGGTAAAACAAACGATAAGTACTGCGGGAGATAAAAACAACAAACAACAAAAAAACCCTAGAAAGCTCTTTCTCTTCCTTCCCTCTCTCCAGTATGTCTGTTTTGCTACGACCTTTTTTTCTTCTGTGGCAAAAAGTCTCACTCTACCTCTGACAGCATGTTTAGAGCACCAGTCGCTGAGCAGAAACTGGTCTAGTCAAACCAAATGGGCACGCGAGAACAGGACTAAAATCCAAAGTTAAAAGCTCATACAGCTGCAAAACCATATCACTACTTGGTAACAATGCAGACCTCATAAAGAGAAAAAAAACTAATGAATAGAATAAATATGCTGAAAAAGAAAAAAAAAACTTTTTTACGTTCCTTTATGCTTGTCACACATACAGATCGCGCTGAGTTTGATTTGTAAGTAAGAAATCAAAGTGAGAAAAAAAAACGATTTCAGAGTTTTGACTCCATTTGATATACAGTATAATTCAAGAAGTGGTCGAGTGAGATACGTGATATATTCCTTTATCCCCCTCCCTCCCCCCGTCCCCTCCCCCCCCTTATTTCTTTTTTCCTCTGTTGTAAGAAACGCTAGGCTGCTTGTCAGTGTCGTTTAGGTTCATGTTCTAGAGTCATACTAAACATGAGGTGTGTTTGGGAAAAAAAAGAAGAAGAAGGCTGGTCATTTTTGCGCATGCCTGTTTTGCCAATATGTAAGGGGGGGAGGGGATGTACATGCATTTTGCAATTTGTAAAGTGATTTAAATATTTGGCTGACGGACGGGCCAGAGGAAACAGAGCGAATTGATTAGCCGGGTGGGCACAGGGAGGGGTGGGCGTGAGGGCGCTAAGAAATTTTTATTGTGAAAAAAAAGGAAAAAAAAAAATAAAAAAAAATAAATGAAAGTCGTTGTGCAATACTTAATTGAAACATGAACCACAGGTTAATGGTAGACTGACACTGGGGGTGTGCTCTTTCATCACTCTTTGTCAGTATATTCTTGAGCTTTTGAGTCTACTATGTCAGAACTGTGGTTTCTTGTTTATTCCGTTTCTTTTGTTTTTTTTTTTTTCTTTTTTTTCTTTTTTTGGGGGGCTATAATCAATGGTCTGTCAGTCTGTGAATCTTTGCAGTATGATTCTGGTATTGTTGTACTCTTTACTGTGTAATAAATATGTTAATACCTGCACTAAAGCCTGCGGGCTCTGTTTGACTCAATTCAATGTGGGACCCGAAGGGCATCCATGTATTTTAGGCCTCCTAAACGTTGTACCACTCACTCTTAGCATCGGATTGATCAAGTTTACACAGATTTTCTCCTTTATCCTAAGTGTAGTCAGACACTTATGAGAACAGCTCAGCCAAAAATCAAATGTGTACAGTTTTTTCAACCCTTGTGTGGTGTTCAGGTCTGTGAGATCCATTGTCAATGTTTACCAATAGAAAAAAATTATGTGATTTTTTATATCTTAACCTCAGATTCTTGGCCTTTGCTCATTTTCTGTGAAGAACATATAAAATAACACATTTTCAATGATTTCACACTGTTCACCCCGTACACATTTATATTACACATGTGGTGTTGGGGTGAATCCGCGGAGAGTAAAAGTGTGTGCCTTCACTCTGTTCTCCTCCTACATGGCCTGCTGTTAGTGTGTGTGTGTGTGTGTGTGTGAGGGTGGACAACATGGAGAAGCTGCTGACTGGCTACAGCTGCTAAAGGAGAACCCTACACTGGCCACTTGTCATATTTTAAACATCTGATATTTTTATATAAATTGTTATGGCTGTATTGATTTACAAAAAACAATAATATGGTGGGTCCACCAGACCACTGAACAACAAACATATCAACACCACACAAGCGTTAAACCAATCTGATCCAAAAAGACATACTTTGCTTTGGTATCCAAAGCTTGCTTTATTAGTTTTACCAAGTATTTTAATGTTATAGATTAGTATGTAAGTAACAGTATGTAACAGTATATACATAGAATGTCAAACTACATCAGCAGGTCTATTTGAGATTACCTAACAAGGCAGTTTGAGGCACAAGTGTGATGACTTAGGCAAGCAGTTTGCATACTGAACAAAAATTAAAACTCAACACTTTTTTTTGCTCCCATTTTCCAGCAATTTGATAAAAAAGTGAAATGTGTTGAGCTGCTACAGGCAAATGGTGGTCACACCAGATACTAATGTGGGAATTCTGTTTCACGAGCCGCCCTGTTTTTTGCAGGGTCTCAGTGAAATGCTTTCAGTAAAAAGTGCTGCATGTATAATTTTGCTCAGTATAGAAGCTGATTAATATCTATAAACTTCCATTTGCTCATGTTAGCCTTGTAGCTCCAGTGCAGAACTAAAGGAGCAGGCTTCAGACACAAAGCATGCCTTGGCTTAAAACCTGTTTGGAGTGATGAAAAACTGTACATTTGATTTTTGGCCCAGATGTTCTTCTGAATAGCTCCAGGAATGACTGACGATGCTGTAATATGCACTCAAAATATCTTGTATGTCCACTTACTGGTCCAGTGAGAGGTGACCTATGTGTAGATACATACTACTTATAGTAATGGTTGAGGACGGATCTCAAAATCCGCCGGATTTCTTACACACTGACTTTGTGATCTTCCTATGCTAAGCAGTAGTTTTTTTTAAAAAAATAAGTCAAATAGACCCCCGACAAGTTTCTGCTCACAAGTTTCCACAAGTTTATTTATTATATTATTATAAACAATTATGACTAATTAGTAAATAAAAAGACTTATGCACACCCCAATGAGGTGAAATTACACGTTTTGTTGATTTTCTAAGTGAAAATAAATTGACACATCCCCTACAGAGAACGCATTTAAATAAAAAAATAATAAAATGTACCATAACTTGCACAAGTGACATGATGTTTAATATGTGAAATTCAGTAAATAAACAGTATCTGTGTATTAAACTGCATTAAAATGTGCAGAAGTGTGTTCTCTGTAGAGGATGTGTAATTTACTTTCACTTAGAAAATAAAACATAGTTTGAGGAGGGGTGCATACAACTGTGTGGAACTCTGAACACATCTGGCTTGTACATGAGTCAGAAATGTCATTATTTTTAATTATTAGCCTTGTGATTAAATATTTGACCGTGTAATATATGGAATGAGCTGAAGTGTTCTCTTTATAATAAATGTATTTAGAGATATTGTGAAGCAATTATGGATCTCTTCGAACTTGAAAGCATTTTTTGCCCCCTGAACAGGAACTGGGACCCCGTTACAGCCTCACCTAAAAAAAATCCGAAAATCGCCACTGCTCATAGCTACATTCACTGCCAGGTATTAAACCTTCAGCGAGCGAGAGTGATATTAGCTCTGTGTTAACACTAAAATGATAGCAATCTGTGTTCTTATGTAATACACCAAAAGGAAAAGAGGCAGAGGATGAAAGACATGAGATCAGATCAGCTATATTCTAGGCAATTTTCATTAAAGGTGCTCTTTGCTTGTGTTTCACTTCTGTTGCACAGTGTTCATATATCAGTTATTGGAAGAAAACCTCTCCAAACTCTCCATTTTTGACGTTTTTCAGTTTTTGAAATAATTTGAAAATGTCTGTTGCCTTTTACATTGTGTATAAATTTCATGATGAATGGACTAAAAGAAATGGCCCAATATTATTTGAAAAAAACTGCTTTCATTGACTGACATTAAAGGTAAAGTAGGTTTTTTCCTTCTCCTGTAAAGTTACCATTTTGGAGATACTAGAACAGCAATATGTACTTTTAATAAATATGACTTTTAGATAAAAAAAACAATTCATGATCTTTTATGCAGTTTTGACAAGTAAAATATTTAAATGCATATTTTTAGCACTTTATGCATGAAAACATTAATATCCACAAGTTTTCACTTTCAAACCAGTGGAAATAACTGACCTGTCTAATGAGTGTTATATACTCTACTATATCACATGATAAAAGGGGATGGTTCTCTAACCACGTGAAACCAACCATTAAAACTGTGACATGTTTAGATTGGAATTCTTGTGATGAGATTAGATTGTTATATTTTTGCACGTTTCCAAAAGCTTGTTAGCTATTGAGATGTCTGTTCTGTGGCTGCTTGACCCCCAGAACCACAAAAAAAAGTCCTGTTCAACCACTCCAGTATTCCCAAAGTTAGACCCTTGGACCCATCATTGTCAATGTTAGGTTAAGAGTGGTCCACCACCAAAAATATCCAGCCAAGCGCAGCTCTTTGGTCAGAAATTGCCCAATTTCCAACAAATCAAGCAACAATTTGAAATTGTCACTTATTTCTGAAGGGTTAGAGGATGACTAATACAACAACTGATGAACTTCAGTCTCTAACTGCACACCAGCAGGTAGGTGTTTCTAATAAAGTGGCCAGTGAATGTAGGTAGTCATGATAAATAGTACAATAAGACCAAACTGCACTTACAGTCATATGCAAAAGTTTGACCACCACCCTCCCCCCACCCCAGATGAAAAGTCATGTTTTGTTGATTTTCTAAATAAACAAACTTAAATATGCTATTATTCTGTAAATTTTGCATGGGCCACGTTTATTCATTTTTATTTATTTATTTTTGCCCAATATGTTAAATGCAGAAGTGTGCTCTCTGTAGAATTTCATTTATAAATTCATGTGGTTTGACTAGGGGTGCATAAACTTTTGCATACGACTGTATCAAACTGGACGTGAAAAGAGAGCTGAAGCAAGGTCATAAAAGCTTAGAGCGCCAGGTGTGACATTAAACTCGCCTTCCAATTTGCGATCCATTCTTTACTGTAATTTCACTGTATTTAACCTTTAACCCAGTGATAATGAACAAACGTATATTGTAAGTCTTCAGCTGGAGGGCTGAGCTATAACAGCCACGGTAAAGACGGCAAGCTTTTGTCCGCCTCTCATAATGACCTCAGGTTTTTAACTGCCCTCCCTAAGAGGAGGCTATTAGAGGGGAAGGTCTATATTTGAAATTGTCACTTAATTCTGCCCTCCACCCCCCACACCCCTACCCCCACCCCACCCCCTTCATATTTACCTAATGTGCGAAATGTTAATATTTCCAGTGTTCGGCCCCGTTTCCTCTCGAGGTGACAGCATTGACAGGGCAACGCATTTAACATGGCAATTAGACCGGCCCGACGCACAGCTTTGTAAATGTGGCATTCTGCCGCTGCCCGGACCCCATCACAATTAACCCCCTTACTTCACAATCGCTCGACCTTCAGAAACATTAACAATCAGCCCTTTGAAGGGGACAAAAAAACATTTTCAGAGAGGCTCTGTTGTGAACCGTGTCCACTCTTTATCTTCCTTTATGACCACTTAGAAGTTGATAGAGCCCGGGATGAGTTAGAACGGCGAGATATGTCTGCCATTCACCGGCGAGGCACATTGTGAGCCTTTTTTTATTATTATTATTTTATTTTATCACGCTGCCAGAATAGACAGCGCCTGAAATAAGCGCGGTCTGGAGAACTGCTCTCGGCCGATAACAATACAAATGGATTTTCTCAAACAGAGAAAAACAGCTGTCTCCATTATTTGAATGCTTCACCTTTCCCTGCTCCATTAATTGGGTCTTTGATCACAGGCAGAGGTGCAGAGTGCCTGATAAGGAATGCGTTATTAGTGAAGTAGCCTGGAGGACTGAGCCGCGCGGGCTGTGCGAGATGAGATAAACCCATAATGCCTTGTGTGTGAGAGCGCGCGCGTGCGAGTGAGTGATAGGCCCCATCGTCAGGCCCTGGAACGCTCACAGAGGGAGAAGAAGAGCAATACTCCAGCGTGATGATAGCTAATGCGGGATATAAATTCAGCTTCCAGGGATGGAACGCGGGATTAAACTCCATAAAGAGTCCGCCTCTAAATGGTTTACATTTTTTTCCTCCCCCTCCTCTCTATCTCTCTCTCTCTCTCCCTCTCCTTCTCTCTCTCTCTCTCTCTCTCCCTCTCCCTCCCTCTCTCTCTCTCTCTCTCTCTCTCTCTCTCTCCCCCTCCTCTCTCTCTCTCTCTTCCTCTCTCCCCTCCTCACACACTCTCTCCTCCACTTCTCTCTCTCTCTCCCTCTCTCTCTCTCTAAATCAAACTACGTCGCAGAATTTTCGCTGCGCTTTCACGAAGCCGGAGATATGTGGCGAGGAACATTACTACTGTAGGCCTTCGGCGGAGGAGAAAA